GTAAATTAAGTGTATTGCAAAGTTGTATTGAGAAAGAATAAACTAGTTTTATTTAAGAAAGGACTTGTATCACTGAAATTTCTTGGGAAGAATTTCTACCGGAAATTATAAAACAAGCAGAGACGTAACAGTATCTACAGGCAAAGTTTACATACCATTAGATAGGACATATTATAAACTATTTATATTAGTGTAGAGAGAGTAAAATGGTTTCAGAAGTAATGTATGGTTTTGTAAAGAAATAAGTAGATGTACATGTAACTCCTGTAAAGGAAAACAGTCTAATGGGAAGCTATAAAGACTTTGGAACAAACCACAGATATGGGATTTTTGCTTCCCGCTGTATTTTAATGATATATAGCTGAAAGTGGTAACTATTGCAATTGGCAAAATGAAGCCCGAAATGAAATATGGTAATGAATATCAATAAAGTTGAAACTGATTGAACATATAAAATGTAACTTTCTGCTCAACAAAATTAAAATAATATATTCTAAAATGAAAGGAACTATTTTTGTTTTGTTTTTCCAAACAGTGTTATGCATAAAAACAAATTGGAAATTTAACAACCTAAAAAATGGCAGAAAAACTAAATTCAACGATATGTACTTTTTATGGCACTATTTAGTAAGTTTGTCCTATGTTTCATGCAATTGTGTTAAGTATTTCCACTGTGAGAAGGAAAAATCAAGGGACCCATTCAATGAGACCCATTGAATCCAGAATGAATTATAGGCTTGTTGAACATACATAGACATGTGGTTCCAGTTGCACTTATTTATACAACATAATTCTTGCAATCTTTCAGATATCTTTTTTTTTCAGGTTCTCTTCAAAATAATATTGTGAGTTCTTGTTGCTTCAATATATATATATAAATGTGTGTGTATGTAGTATGTACACAAACATTACATTTTTTCTGTTTAATTGAATTTTAGAAATATTGTTTAATTGTATTTTTCAGTCAAGGCTTAGCAGACAACACTGTTATAGCAAAAGTGAATGGTGTGCTATGGGACTTGGACAGGCCTCTGGAAAATAGCTGTAATCTCCAGCTGCTGAAGTTTGATTGTGAAGAAGGTAAGAAAATAGATAATGCAAGTTTTAAATAGATTCAATTTTTATACAATTATATGTGTTGAAATCCATAAGTGTTTATAAAGCCTGTGATAATGTCTTGAAAGAATATTATGATATTTTTACTTTGTTTTCTTCGTGATGTTTAACAATGTAGTTTTATCTTTGAAATAAAAGATATTTTAATTAATCATTTCTCAGCACCAACTCGTTAAACTAGAGCTAAAAAGAGCTGGTTTACATATTTTCACTTTTCCTAAAAATGATGCTAAATTAATGTTATGATAATACTATAATTTTTGTTTTAATCAAACATTCAGATACTCGTATATCTGTATTTAACATGATTTTATGAAGTGAAAATTAGTTTACTGGTTTTTCATGAAACTTGCAAATTTAAACTCATTGCAGGTCAGCAGGTTTTCTGGCACTCGAGTGCACACATTGTGGGTGAAGCCATGGAGCGTGTTTATGGAGGTTGCCTGTGTTATGGCCCTCCCATTGACAATGGCTTCTACTATGATATGTATTTACAGGACCAGTGTATCTCTAGCTCAGATTTTCCAGTTCTTGAAAGTGTTGTCAAATCTATTGTGAAAGAGAAACAGCCCTTTGAACGACTGGAACTATCAAAGGATGATCTACTGGAAATGTTCAAGGTAGAACATATTTAAATCAGCTGCTTCATTTATCAGTAGATATGAGAGATTAACTCGATTAATCGTTATAACTCATTACATCTGAACATCGATTATTTTTATGTCAAATAGTCTATTAATCAAAGCTATGGTAAAGTCAATTAATGTCACAAAAACAGTCAACAAATCAAAATTAGTAGCACTATATTTGCTAATAAAACCCAGTTTTTAAAGTATTGTTACAACAGCGGAAATCACGTGATGAGATTCTAGAAGGATCGGGGAACCTCACGAATGTCCCAGCGTTTGATAGACACCCTCTTTTTTAGTATATAAGCCGGCAGATAAATTGATAAGAGAGATAATTGAGTCAAGCCATAAGTAAAGTGTGTAAGTCGCTGTGAATTATAGCTAAGTTAAAGTGACTGTGGAAATTAAGTGTATTACAAAGTTTGTAACGAGAAAGAATAAACTAGTTTTTATTAAGAAAGGACTTATATCGCTGAAGTTTCTCGGAAATAATTTTTACGGGAAATTATCAAACAAGTAGATACTTAACAGTAGTTAAAAGCAAAGTTTATATATCATTAGATAGGGCACGTTATAAACCACTGACATTAGAGAGATTATTCCAACTATCCTGATAATTAAAATATGTCCATTATGATTTCTCATTATTATTTTTGATTAATTCAAGGTTGTTTTGCTTAATCATTTAGTGTTATGACGTAAAAATAATCAACTAATTAAAATTAGTGTTTCCAATTACTACTACTGTAAGATTATTGAAATAATCCAAGTCTTCTGTTTGAATAATTTATTAGTTGAATATAATAATTAATTATCAAATTCAACTAAATGCCTAGCTATATATATATATATATACACACCCACATCAGTATTTCTTCACTGCTTAAAAGTTTAACTTTTCTGCTTGTACTATAAGTCTTGAGTATTTTTTTTAGTATTTCAAGAAAATGAAATACTTTTCTTGTTTAATCCACTTTCCCTTGTTTTAGTGAATTTACTTTCTTAGACTACTAGAAATCCTGATTTATATATTCACATTATTTCTCATCAGTAAAATAATCCCTAAATTGAAATCACATGTTGAGTGAGGTAGTTTTTGTTTTTGCTCATTTATTCCAAAGTTAGTAATGAACAAACTGCACTATTTTGCTCATTTAACTTCAGTTGAAATCTATTGATATTTTAGGTATAATTTCTCTACTTATAGGTACATTACATTAATTTAGGTACAAGTTCTTAATTTTCATGTTATTTTATGTGAGTGTGAAGCCACCTAGTGTTGAAAAGATAAAAACTGTTTTGGTTATAATATTTATTACTAGTTTAATGGTTCCTGAAATTTAGAGAACCAGCAGGTTCATGATTATATTTATCAATATGAGATATAATCTAACAGCACGTCATCAGAAATTCATACAAAGTGGAAAAGTGAAATTCTGCAAGAAAAAATAAAATGCATTAATTTAAAACAGAAGGTTGTAAGATTTCCAGATGATACCCTGATTTCATTTCTAGTCATTCTCTTTCAGAAATATCTGTTGGAGCACATACAAGTCCCCCAATTTCTGCTTGTTATTGGGAAAATGATTGCTTATAGGTGTATCTTGGCTCTGCAGTTTATTTTATCCCTTTTCGAGATGGGTCATGGGTGAAAGGTCACGTCATCTCAGTTGTTGACTTGCATTCAAAATTTTATTGAACTACTATTTCATGAAATTATGTCAATAAGTTTGGTATCAAAC